AAGAGTCTGAAGTACACCCTCTTTAAACTTGAGGGTTTTACACTTCAGCACATTAGATAATTTGGTCTCTTGTTTTGTTTCCAAAATTGTCAACTGAGGACAGTGATAGCTGTTACATATCAAGCCAGAATATACTCTTTAAGAGAACAGCTATTAGCCTGAAGAGTGTATATTTCCTGAAAAGTAGCCAATAGAACAGTTTACTTTCTCAGGTTAGTTCCACCCTCAAAGTGCCAAAAGCTGACATGAGTGTAAAGGTCCACATGTAAACAGAATCTACAGGTACATGAAAAGCAAGCCACAAGATCAGAGAAGAAGCAAGCACTCATACTTGTGATATATTTGGAGGTTTATGGTATTGAAGCTGCATACATCGAACACTAAATTGGTGTGGATAGCAGTTTACATGCTTATTTTTAAACAAAACTATATATCAACCCTTTCACCATTGACTGCTTGAATGAAGGGGCCTTCATTCCTGGTCCACAACACCCTATTTCTCGCATTTCTTCCCCCTGTCTGCACATCTTAATAGTTTACTAAGCCTAGTTTACATGAAGACAAACAGCTGTTATTTTCATAAAAGGAAAAATGTTGCATCCACACAAACTCTGTAATACATATGCCAGGCCATTTGGTGGCACTGTGACCCTGCTACATAATCACACCTAAACTGCTGATGAAAAAAATCTGGGCATGCACAGACAGTGTGGCTGTGTCCGAAGGTCCGCCCTAATCACTGTATAGGGCATTATATAGTGGTTACACCATTTTAAACGAGTGAACATCTAGTGAATGAAAAAGTAGTGGACTTGAAATTTCCCACAATGTACCTTGAAATGTAGTGATCATCTATGGTCACTAGACAAGCAGCTATGTCCCAAAATACTTTGCCAGAGCTCTTTTCGGAAGAGATTAAATGTTGCAACTCATACATTTTTTTTCCTGTTGTCTTTTTCTTTTCCCCCATAGAATTATTGTAGGTGTGAATAGCTGTTGGGAGGAAGGGTCTTCTGTATCGGTCTGCCTTGCACCGGATCTACAGAAGCCTCTGACTGAAGACACTCTTCTGAACAGGATGCCCACTGTTGTCCATAATGTTCTTCACTTTATGAAGAATTCTTCTTAGTGAAATTATCTCCAGAGGTTCTAGAAGACGTCCTAGAAAAGAACTGGCCTTCTTTCTTTAGCCTGTTGAGCTTTTTTTTTTAAGTTATTGGCTCTGATGCTGTTACCCCAGCAGATGATGGAGGAAGAGATCACTCTCTCCACAGCAGACTTATAGACGACGTGTAGCATCTTGCTGCAAACACAGAAGGACCTAAGATTCCTTAGGAAGAGCAATCTGCTCTGTCCCTTCTTGTAGACGGCTTCACAGTTGCATTTCCAGTCTAATTTGTTCTCAAAGAGAACACCAAGATACTCCTCCACCACCTCCACTTCTTCTCCCATGATGTTAATAGGTTTCAACTTGTTCCTGTTTCTTCTGGAGTCTAAAATCATCTTCCTTTTTTTGTTTACATTCTGGATCAGATGATTGTTTCCATGCCACAAAGCGGTTCACCAGCACTCTTCTTGTCCATCCTTGATGCACCCAATAACTGTTGAGTCATCCGAGTTTTTCTGCAGATGACAGGACTCTTCTGTCTGCTCCCATCCCATGCAGTGCTCCTGTGCTGCTGACTACTTGATCAGACAGCTGACTCTTAAGTCTAACAAACTGTGTTCTGTTTGTCAGTTAGTGTTTGATCCGGGCGATTGTTGATGCCTCCTCCTGAGTCCTTTTTCTTTTTTTTGCATAAGTTTGGCTCCTCTGAAATTACACCAGTATTGTGCCCACATAACGTATAATAAATGAGAGCACGCAGCATGTCATCATACGCATAAGGTCAGATAATCCGATCCAAATCACCCTCTTGAACTGACTAATGAAGTCTTGAGAGGAAACTACTGTAAATAAAGGAACATTTTTTTCACATACGAGGTAATTATAAGGGTATGATTAAATAAAGAGAAAAAATGAGATCTTAAACTATCATAATACACATTTAAGCAAAAGGTCTTGGTAGATATATCCATTCTAATCATCTGACATGATTCTGATCAGCTAACCTGTATGTTTCTTTCCATCCATTTATCAATAGATTGCATGGCTCTAAAAGCCACTCGGTGCAGCATTCCTATTAGCAAAAAGCTTTTAGTGCAGTAAGTCTGCAAACCAAACAGCCTTTCCATCAAGCTTTACCTTTTTGTGAACTGTACACTAAATATCCACTTGTGACATTACAATTCAAACTGATCCTCTCCTGCAGTGAAATGCATGTGTGAAGGGGAACTTGAAAGAAAGTTCAGACCTCGTTCTTCACATGCTCTTCAATTTCCAAATGCCACAACAGCTTAGTAGCTAAATAACAGAAAACCAGTGAATGCTTGGAGTTCTCCCGCTGCAGACAGCATCCATAAACCCTCTGTGACTATTAGCATTCTGTATAGCCAGTAATCTGAGTCAGGTATAGTCAATTACTCCAGGTAAACTCCACCAAGGAAAATCATGTTTATATCTGAGTAAGGATTTGTTTTTTTCTAAATGTTCCATTGTAATACAGATACTGTGCCTTTAGACATTGCATTGACATTTTAAATGGAATATATTCCACAGATCAGATTTAAGCTGCTCTTTAGACCTAAATGCTAACTTTAACAGTCCACTCCTCCTCTTCCTGTGCACAATTCACTCCACCTCTGCAGACTCATTCTGGGAGCACCACTTTACACAACACAATAAACAGTTCTCAGCCTGAAAGTCAGCTACTTAGCTGTGAAATGAAATAAGCATATTGAAATTATCACAGACTTCATTTCCTTTCCCTTTCCTAACATATTGCAAAAAAACATCTTAACACTTATTCACACAAATATAAGCTGCTGTTTATATATTAATACCAAATATCTGTATGCTGTCACGGAACTCAAATGCCTTCAATGATGAATAAAAAAAACATATTTGAAATAAAGTTATTGGAATATGAGCAGACGGGTCAGAACACTTGATGTAAAGTTGGAAAAGACCAGTTTTAAAAATATGAGTAATTTACACTGCAGCTCCTTTCTTATTGATTTATAATATTATTAAAAAAAACATTAAGAAATGCAGTCTGCACATAAATGACAATATAAAGAAAACTATCCAGAAACCACAATATATGATTTTGTAACTATCTATTTGTAAGATACAGCTGCGAATAACAGCTGTCTATCAGCTAGAATTCTGATCCTCAAAGATCTGTTAGTTTGCCTTCAGAATTTACACCTCCGCTTTATCATCCTGAATTAGATGCACCTGTTTGAGGCTGTGAGCTGCACAAAGACACCTGTCCACCCCATACAAGCAGAAAGAATGCAACTACTAACATGGTCAAGACCGAAGAGCTGTCCAAAGACACTAGAGACAAAATTGAACACCTCCACAAGGCTGGAAAGAGCTATGGGGAAACTGACAAGCAGCTTGGTGAAAAAAGGTACACTGTGGGGCAATCATTAGAAAATGGAAGAAGCTAAACATGACTGCCAATCTCCTTTGAACTGGGGCTCCATGCAAGATCTCACCTGGTGGGGTCTCAATGATCCTAACAAAGGTAAGACATCAGCCCAGAACTACACGGGGGGGAGGAGCTGGTCAATGACCTGAAAAGAGCTGGGACCACCGTTTCCAAGGTTACTGTTGGTAATACAATAAGACATCATGGTTTGAAATCATGCATGTCACGAAAGGTTCCCCTGCTCAAAGTCGTAGGGAAACGGCTTCTCCAACCGTCGATTATCAAAAGGGCAGGATTGTTGTGGCGAAGGTTCTTAAGAAAGTTTGATTGTGACCGTTTTCTTCGAAGCATCTTGCTCACCAGTTAGCACTTAGTGTTAGTAGGTTACTTTGGGACCAAGAAGCACTAAATTCGTGACTTAGAAATGACACTGTGAAGGAACGCTATGGACAGTGGAAACATGCAAGAGGAGGAGAGTTTTGTGTTGGAGGTCATGGATGAGGGACGAAGATGCTGTGGAAGAGTATGCCACGCCTGCCGAAGACACAGACGTCCATCCCCGTGAACACTGGGACATAACTCAATGATAAAGTAAATGATTCTTATTTCTTATTTCAACCATGTGTGTATTAGCTAAAACATATGAATCAAGATGCTATGACCGAAAAAATGTGATTGACAGATGGCCGTTGATATATGATTGGCTGAATTTAGTTGTACAAGCGGACGTATAAGTAACTGGCCTGCATAGAGTTTCAAAAAAAACCCACAGATTTTAAGACTTTTTTTAATAGAAATTTTCTAAATTTTGGAACAATATTGTCTGATAAAGAGTACGCACTGTTTTTCCATGGATTATATTTCGGATAACATCCAGCAATAATAAACAGAATTTTACTGGTATTGATTAATAATTGTTTTTCATTGAATCAGTCGACATACTAGCTGGACTAATTTTAGCAAAGATCTTCCCTTCAACTTGTGTTGTGTAATGTAAAGCTTTTGCTCAAACTACAATGTAGCTTGCCACTATCAGTGTGTGAGTGTGTGTGTGAATGGGTGAATGATTGTAGTGTAAAGCGCTTTGGTCAAGTCTCCTAACTTGAATAAAGGCGCTATATAAGTACATGCCATTTACCATTTGCCAAACTGTAATCTAACTTTTTTTATATTAAATCTACTTCCATGTTGCACCTCTAATGCCCTAAATATGTGATCACTCGAATAACACCAAACCACCAGTAATTCACTATATCACAGATATTTACCAGAGTATAACAGACACTGCAACAAGAGGAAAAGGCAGAAAAACAGCTCACAAGCAACAACAATGGGTTCAGCCTGTGGGTCAAACTTTCTATCCTCCTTTTTTAAACTGTCTTTATTCCATCGAAAAAGAAAAAAACAACAACATACTATGTCTTTGAAAGTGCTTTGCCTTTTTACGCCTTTGTCACGCACCTCCTTGACCTCCAGCAGCTGTCCTGGATACTGATTCTTAGCCCGCCGAGCTGCAGCTGGAGACTTGTGGTGGGTGATGGTGACGATGTTGCTGGGCGAGGCCGAGTGGCCCTGATGCCTCTGGGAACTGGGGGATGAAGATGGAGTTAGGTGGGGGAGAAGGGAGAAGCTACGTGCCCGACCAGATGAGGATCCCTGGGGGGAAGGAGGAGGAGGGGGGAAAGGGGAGACGACACAGGAAAGGAGAGAGTGAGTCATGTAGGAAATTATGTGTGTAAGGAAGTTTTAGGTAATTTTAAAGTTAAGGTCCAGTTTGTCCTGGAGGTCTGTTTTCCCATCTACATCAGGTTAGAAATTACATTAAGCACCTGGAAAAATCCTGGTGTTCATGTTCTTGGAAAAAAAGGAAAAAAAAAACATTTCTGCTTACATTTCTAGTTTTACAAACCGGTGCCTCAGTAACTACAACTGAGCATTTAAACACCCTACTTCATTTCTTTTTGATTTTGGTATAAAAAGTATGAAATAGCCAAAGGCCTTTGATATGATACAGCAGTTCCGATTCGATAAGAAGCAATTGGAATTTAAGATAGCTGTTAGCCATGGATATTGGGACAACAATTAGATTTTTCCATCGTTAGACTTAAACCCATAAAAATGTTATTTCTCAACATTTCATCAATGCATCACCATTAATGATCCCTACATTACGACAAAGTGGGTCTGCAAATATCCAGAGTTTCTAGTGAGTGTTGGGTATTTTTAAACCTTTTTTATTCTTAGGGATCAGAACAATGTGCATGGCATTTCGAGCTTTCAACGTGTAAATGAAAACTGTTGTTTTTAAAATCTGGCCGTTTGCTGAATATAAATCTCTACCACTACTTAGTCCTTCAAAGACAATGTTTTATCTGATTCACATTTATTTAAAGGTAAAGCCCCTGCTCTGTAGATGCTAACTAAATGCTGCAAATAATATGCCTGATGAAATGGTATAAAAACAAGTTTGTAGCGCTCTATGAAAGCATCACATTAAGAACAGCAAAATGAGACTCATTTAGCACTTTTCTTAGACCTAGTCAAAAAGGTAAAGGTTTTAAATTTAAAGCACAGGGAACTCTGCATATTTCCATCCTTTGACGAAACAAATCTGTAAATTCATGGCATGAGTGTCACATTTCAACAGCTCAATATGTATTCTGTAAAAATGCATCAATGCTACAATCTTTATTATGCAAGTTCTACTCAAATGTCATAGTACTGATAAATAATAACATATGCAGCCTCTATCAACCCAGATTTACTTATGCTTAAAATGTCTCAGAATGACTGCAGCTTGACCTGCTTCTTTAATTTGGTTACCTTTTTTCTGAAAACCTGCAGACACATGTAGAGCATTCATAGCCAGATGGTCACGGGATCCTTAAATATGCAAACATAACCTTTGAAATTGTGGCCATTATGTGAATATTGAGAACGGCCGTTTCCAAAACAAAGAATGGGAGATTTGAATCCAGATCTTCATATGTTCTAGGCTTCCATCTTTAGCTTTACTTTTGAACTCAAACATGTGGAGCTATTCATGTGTTTGAAACACTTTCATCTTTTTGGGGTTGCTCTTTCTTTTTAACACTCCTGGTCTTTTGTTTTTGTTTTTTTTAATAAAATTTTAGAGTATTTCCAGTTTTTGTAATATCCCCATCGCTTCATATTTTTCTCCAACAACTAACAAACATCTTTAATATACAATTGTTGGTATACACACTTAGACAAGGTTATGTAGCTTTGACTGTAATATCTAAAAGATACATTGGGTCGACGGTACAGGTTTTTTTTCTTGTGTCATGCTTAATAACACTTTAAATAGGATTTGTATATGAGATCTGAAATATGTTAAATAAGTGGAATGAACTTATTTTAAAGGGTTGAAAATAAGTATTTTCTGTTCCCCTCTACAAAACTAAAATTACATGTCAACATTTGCATTTCACAGTTTTATCTAAAACAAGAAACACAAAAGCTTTTTCAAGGGCTGCAGGTGGTGGAATGAAAGAGCATACATCAGTAAGCAAAACAGGAAATTCTGCAAAACTTTGGTTATCTTTTTTTAATTAGGGGAATGTTAGACAAAGATCCTGGAAAAGATCAAAATTTTGACTGAACTCAAAGGCTTTATCTGCAGTTTCCAAAGTAACAGTATGTAACAAGCCCCAGGTGGGAAACAGTTCTTTTGGTTCAAATCAGACTATTTTTAACAGCTTTGCTTTAAAACAAAAAAATAAACCTGCAGCAGTTTGATTTAGGTCATACCGGTGGTTACCAATGGGGGCACCCTAAGAAGAGAGAGCTGGGTGGGTGGCACAAGGGCAATACTAAACTAAACAAATGTATCATAAATGTTGTACTTTCCATCTCTTTATGCATGTCAATCAGTAAATTGCACCCAAGTGTTAAGCAAGCAATTTAAAAAAAGACCATTAATAATGCAATATAAAAGGAGCCACATTTATTAAATAGAAAATAAGATAATTTGTAAAAAGCTTCTTTTTTTTGGCTGTGGAACCCAGCAAACTGTGTTATATACCATTGACTTTCAGTCCCCTTTTCCAGAGTAAGTACAGAGCTTCAGGTGACAGTTGATGAAAGAGCTCCTTTTAAAACAGGAAAAGAAGCGATTGAAACAGTAAAAGGGTTGTTTTAACATAAAAACCTTGATTTATTCTCATTAGTAATCTGGTTTTATGTAATTGTACACAACTGGGTTATATATACACACACAGAATCTTGCTTTATGCGTCGTCTCTCCCTGCACTAAAGTCAGATCACATTCTTCATTCTGATGGGTGGCCCTCTCCCCCCTCTGTGTCTCCTGCATCCTCAGTTGGCTGACCTCTGTGCTCACACAGGCAGCAAAAGTCAGATCGCTATCTTGTCTGCTCTTTCTTTACTGTCCATTAGTTTACAGCAGCACACTGGGAACAAGGCACTATAGATTTATCCCTCAGAGGAGCACAGGGGGTCTGGTCACTGCAGCAGTGAAAAACACCACAGATCAAATTAACAACTTCCCCTCCAGAGCTACCTCACAGGGAGGGAAAACAACAAGCCTTTGTTTTAGGGATGAGCTGTTCAATCTGAAGTTAGAACCTGAAGATCAAACACTTTAATACATGGTCAGGACATACAGTACCCTCTATATTGACCTGTATCCCTGGTAGAGACGTGAGAAAAAATACTAAAAGGAAAACTGGTTCAATGCATTACCACAGGAAAGCTTTACAATCAAATTACAACATCTTAAAAGTTTGTCAAGAGCAGCATGTTTTATCATTAAAAAATGTACCTTCTTTAGACACAGTGGGCTTCATACAAGAAGCTCTTGTATAAACAAATTTGTTCTTAAATCGTTCGTACGAGTGATTTTGGACAAAATGTCCAATTGACAGTTTTTCCCCTATTTCTAATCTTCTCTCAGGTACAAACATAGTGCTCCAGACCTGATGTAGGAGTCTTGCACAATCCAGCTAATGACCACATTTCATGTAACTGTCCATTATATTAGGCTAAAGTGAGGAAAATAAGTATTTGAACACCCTGCTATTTTTTTTTATTTGGAAGTTCTCCCACTTAAAAAACTATAAGGGGTCTGAAATTGTCATCGAGTTGCATCTCCACCGAGAGAGACAATCTAAAAGAAATAATCCAGAACTATTCATTTGTATGATACAGCTGCAAATCGGTGTTAATATTTGGTACAGTAGCCTTTGTTTGCAATTACAGAGATCAAATGTTTGCTCTAGTTTTTCACCAGGTTTGCACCAATTGCAGGAGGGATTTTGGCCCACTCCTCCACACGATTTTCTCTAGATCAGTCTAGTTTGAGCTTCCTCAAAATATTCCCTATTGCACCCCAGAACATTGATATGCTTCTTACAAAACCACTTCCTTGGTTATCCTGGCTGTGTGTTTCAGGTCATTGTCATGTTGGAAGACCCAGCCTCGAACCCATCTTTAATGATCTAACTGAGGGAAGGAGGTTCTTCCCCAAAATCTCCCGATACATGGCCCCGGTCATCCTCTCCTTAATACAGTGCAGTCGCCCTGTCCCACATTTAGAGAAACACCCCCAAAGCATGATGCTGCCACGCCCATGCATCACAGTAGGGATGGTTCTTGAGATTGTACAAACTTTTCTTCCTCCAAACACATTTAGTGTAATTTTGACCAAAAAGTTGTATTTTGGTCTCATCTGACCACATCATTTTCTCCCATGAGTCCTCTGCATCATCCAAATGGTCATTTGAAACTTAAGACAGGCCTTGACATTACTGGTTTAAGGAGGGGTACCTTCCGTGACATGTATGATTTCAAACCATGACGTCTTAGTGTATTGCTAACAGTAACCTTGGAAACGGTGGTCACAGCTCCTTCCAGATTATTGACCAGCTCCTCTCTTGTAGTTCTGGGCTGATTTCTTACTTCACCTAGGGTCATTGAGACCCCACCAGGTGAGATCTTCCAAGGAGCCCCAGTCCGAAGGAGATTAACAATCATGTTTAGCTTCTTCCATTTTCTACTGATTGCTCTAACGGTGGACCTTTTCTCACCAAGCTGCTTGGCCATTTCCCCTCAGCCCTCTCCAGCCTTGTGGAGGTGTACAATTTAATATCTAGTGTCTCTTGACAGCTCTTTGGCCTAGTTGGCCTAGTTAGTAGTTGGATTCTTTCTGCTTGTATGGGGTGGACAGGTGTATTTGTGCAGCTCACAACCGCAAACAGGTGCATCTAATGTAGGATAATAAATGGTGTGGGGGTGAACTTTTTAAAGGCAGACTAACTAGTCTTTGAGGGTCAGAATTCTAGCTGATAGACAGGTGTTCAAATACTTATTTGCAGCTGTATCATGTAACAGTGGGACTTGCATCCATTTTAGTCAATGGCAGCTCCTTGGCTTTGTTACACTAAATGCTGAATATTTGGGTTTGGATCCATCTGACATAATCTAATTAGAGTTTTGCTGTAAACATTTTATATATGTTTATGCATTGTGAGAGAGAATAGGATGAAGGGGTGGCAGACGTGGTCTTGAGATGTACAGTACAGGTGTGACTGTATGTTAAAAGGAGATTTAGCAGAAGGTTGTTGTGTTGGACAGCAAACTCACTTTAATATGTTGGACCTCTTGCCTCGATCAGT